TTTAAAATTTTTCGCCGCAGAAGCCTCGGGACCACTGATGATCGATGGTGGACCTGAGGTTCCCGCAGCCAAAAATGTTTCGCGCTGCAAACGCGATGCTGTCCCATACCTCTCATTCGATATGCGCAAAAAGTGTAATTCTATATTGCGGATGAATTTGATTGCACAGACGGTAATTGAAAGAGGGTCTCATCCAGTAAGGGGGGGGGCATTGTGATGCAACGTCTAATAGCTGCCCTCACCCCCCACCCCCCTGAACTGGCTTCACTCCCCCTGGCTTACGGGGTCTCGTACTTCAAGAAACCTGTGCGCCAGGGGGAGTGTAGGCAGTCTAGGGGGGTGGGGGGTGAGGGCAGCCACTTGATGCCCCCCTTACTGGATGAGACCCTGAAGAACTTATAGTTTCGCGGATTAAGTCGCATGCCCACCTACTCCATGAACAGTAACAGTAGCGTAAGCATAGGACAAGCAGAAAGAAAACAAGAGCTGCAGCGCTTTTCTAAACGGAGAGAAATCTTCGAAATACGGGTAAGAAGTTACCGAAGAAAAACCTTCACCATGTGAAAATCAAAAGTATGCCAAGAAAAAAGACGTAATAAAAAGTGCCAAATTCACATAACGCGCTTGAAAGATTTTCACTATCAAAGGAGTTCTTAACGACGACATCACAAGCTTCCATTTCTTATGAAGCAAATTACTAAGAGTTCCAATTTAAGAGATCTTTTCAAGCTCCTTTCTAAAATTGCGAAAGGAGGCATGAAGCCAGATACTGGTTGATAGAGATACGTCATTCAATGAATATAGATCAAAGACACCTCTAAGAATCACACCATCACAGATATCCATAAAAAGATGCGAATTACCTGATCAAAATTTCTCCGAGGTTTCCTGTATTGTTTCCGTCAATGTATTCTTCTGCGTTGGCCATTTGCAAATTCATGTATCCATCAACAGCGACAAGAATTCCTAAAAGAAGTGAACAGATGAGGTTTGCCTTGTGAAGAGGACAATCAATCTTGGAAATGAGGACAGACATGTTCCTCTTATACATTACCTTTATATTCCATCCCCCACTTCAACTTGCACACAATAGGTTTTCCAGTGAGACTGTTGAGGAATGGTTTCGGATTGACGGGCTGGAGAGTCGACATAACTAGTACTAAAAGCAACAATGTAAGCACTTCCACATAATGGAGAAATACGCGGAATTCATGCGATTGCGGAGTACTTGGTCACATAACAGTAAAAAACCGAAGAGGAACGACATCTCCCGAACTAATCCGAAAAAGAAACCAAAATTTCACTTCTAATAAAGCTCATCCACAATACATCAATGCTTTAACAGATCAAAACTACCACAACACTTTTTCGAATCACTCGCAGATCCCGCGGAGTGCACGTAATTTTGCACCAACAATGAATTACCGTACACCAATATTCATGAGGCCGTATGCTGTGAGGAGGGGATGGAGACCCCGACCCGCGATGCTGAATGTTGGGGCTCCCAGCAAGTTTCGTCGCGGGACCTACAGGTGACTGGCCAGTCCTTTAATTCTGTGATGAAGTTTTTGTCTTTTCACTGTTCTAGATTACAGATTCGTCCACGCACACATTGCCATATTGAAGTAATACACCAATATGGCACGAAGTAATAGAAGACGCGAACCAAACTTCAGTCTAAAGTAGTGAATGGACAGACTGGCACGATTACGGCAATACAGCTAGACGTAGGCGAACGATTCGGGGCGCAATGTGGCTCGGGGGGGGGCACTCTGAGAAAAGTCATCTAGGACTAAGCCTAAACAGCAGGGACGAACTCCGGAGAATACGAAAATTGCTTCCGTACACCGGAGTTCCTCTCCTCTTCAAAAGCTTAGTCCTAAAACGGAGCGTTTCCGTGATTTTGACGCGATGTTGCGTGGTGCCCCCCCCTGAGCCACATTGCGCCCGATTCGGTAAATAAAAGAACCCCCAAGGCACTGTTCAACTATTATAACCCAAAAAATTAAAATTTTCATTTTCTTCGAAACTTTGTTTATAGGGGTAATTCGATGCCCTGATTACGAAAATGACATTCATTTTTGGCGTTGGCGCCATTTGGCGCCAGGGCTGTTTTCACCAAATTCGCTGTAAACTTGTATGTAGGGGTTATTTGGGGTCCTGATTACGAATATAACATTTATTTTGCCACTGGCTCCATTTGCCGTCTATTTTCTGATCTTCTGCGCGCTCTTACTGATAAGCTCGCGATCAGGACTAAGCCTTTGGGAAAAAGCGCCCCGAAGTAAGTAAGCCACTCACGCTGTGATCTCATACAACTTCAACATTTGCCAGACGGTGCCTGGTTCACCCACCCCGGAGTCTCTCCCTCTAAGCCTTAGTCTTTAGGTAATTTGTATGAGTAAGAAGGCTCAGGAGATCGGAAAATATGCGTTGAACAGTGCCAAAAGGCGCGAAACTAATTCATATTCGTAATCGGGAAAAGCCTTGACGCAGAACAGACCCGCTGCATAGGTGTTCGGTTTCAACACTGTATTCTAAGACGTGAAGGCACGCGTAGCGCAGTGAATAGCGACCTCCCGGCGCTCGATCTGACTCTGACGGGCACTAGCGACCAACCCCTCGGTTTGAACACCTAGAAATGGCACTGTCCCTTCAAGTGCATAACGTCCCCGAGTACCGACCTCGTACGCCAGCCTACGTGTCCCAGCAAACGCGCCCACAGTCCCATAGGTTCTCCACCTACCGGCGTCGAGACAATCATATCTCTCATTTCTGGTAACGTTCGCTCACGGCACGGCCATAGCAGCCTGGTCACCTGGGCGATGTAATCATCCTGGACCTATCGAGACGGGGGGGGTGGGGGCAGAGTCAACCCTGCGTTGCGCAGTTCGCAACGGCACGTTGAGAGATCCTCAACGCACGCTGTATGGGCGGAGACGCAGACGGCTCGAGCATGCGAGTGTGAATGTTCGCGCGAGAGAACGTGTCTAATCGGGCGAAACTGCGCAACGTGGCCGTTGAGAAACTGCGCAACGCAGGGTTGACTCTGGGGAGGGGGACCGTTGAATCGTATTACCAGACCTATCTGGGAGAGTGAAGGACTGATTTTGTATTTATTAATTATTAGATTTCCAAAGTGACACAAACATCTCCATAAGCACTAAAGGCGCTACGTTTTATGCTACTGAAACATTAGAATAAGCCTAACACTGCTTCCATCTATGACGATTTAACTGATAAGCAACAGGATTCATAAGTGTACTAGGAAAATGGTTATCATGGGGACTATTATAACTACATATGGTAATTTTGCATTTTTGACCAAAATTTGGGGGACAGTCAATTATGCTACAGAATTTCAGTGGCCAAATAATTACCAAAAGATTAATAAGCGGAAGTGAAAGAGAATTTACTCAATCACTGAATTATTACCTAATTAACAGTGAAACACTAGCAAACGCTTTCACCTTTACAATTATATGATTTTTGCTTACTGTATTTTTTTAAATTTTATGCATGCCCTGTGTGATAAATATGTACTTCTGTTTAAGGCTTTTATTTCTTTGGCCCTATTTCACGCTCCCTTCTCGTTTTTGGAAAAGGGTAGATAGAGGGGATATTCAAATGGCTTTTGCTTTTTAAAGATAATCAAAGGCGAGTTACGAATCCGTCCATCGAACTTTTGGATTTTTCGGCCTTCGAGCGGACGTCGAGGCGGCTTCCAAACTTTTGGCCACGCAATGGGCAAATTTCATAAGCAGCTTCGCACAACAGCTTCATTCTACGCACCACTCGGTGGCTGCAGCGTCTACCTCCATTCCTACTTTCGTGTCAAAACTCCTCTCAGTTCAAAGTAGCGCTAAAGAAGCTCAATTTATTAGAAGTTCTTGGTATTGAAGACGTATCATAGTCGATGTTCATGTTTCCTGATGTTTCCTGTCTGGTCTTCTGTTGTTGCTCAGGTTTAGCAGATTCACTCTTGGGACACTCTTAAATTCTACAGTAAGCGAATCCATCACTGTTGAAGGTGATCCCCTCCCAAAAAAAAACACTAAAACGCGGCTACGACTACTCTAGCCTAAGGATTTGGGAGGATGCGTCGCGGATTCTGTCAAGTTTGCCGGTTCCACGTGGGTGGTCGGCATACCCGTGTCTCGAAGTTCCGGTAAACTCCATGACCCCTCAAGTGGCGCAAGGGCACCATGGCCGACTGGTGCTGACTTAAACTGCAATGCTAATCCCAAAGAGTTCTGGCTTGAGTCTTCGTAGCTTCGTGTGACTTCGTTTGCGTGAGCACACATGATGCCCTTCCTTGTCCCGTTCGCCGAGGGAAGCAGCTTGCCTGAACAACTTCTTCTCTTCTTTTCCTCACTCAGTAGTCCTTCTTTGCTGTTTATTTCATTTTCATTCTTTTTCATAATTTTTACTTGCAATGTCTTAATAGCTGCCATTATAATTATCAGTTTATGTTATAGTTTTTTTTTTCTATTCTTTCTGAGTCATGCAGTCAGTCCCGCTTTGCCTGTTGTAGCTGGCGCGTCATTGTACGCATAAATAAATAAATAAATAAATGGTAATTCCAATGTATGCTATACGAAGATTTCATGCACGAATCATTCAGTCACGGGAGGCAACGGATACTAGAACAGTCATCTAATATCACAAGCAGTTTTATTCAATTTAATTTAACGTAGTCAATAGATCAAAAGCTTTTTCGCATTATTTCAATATATTGTGGATTTTCACGTGGGTTGGTTATCCGATGATGTCCGTGGAGGAGGAACCTGAAGAGAATCGATTAGTAAGAGGACCAAAGCTCAAAAGGGTAGGCCGGACTGAATTTGTTAAACCACCTTAACGATAAGACTAGTTTGCAAATCCTCGTAGTATTCGTGTTCAACGGTTTTCTCATTGAAATGTGTGCTTCGTTTCTTCACAGTCGAAATAGTACTGACTTTCTTCCTGATACAACAGGCGTTTATCAATTACTGTCACT